TAGACATACAGTTCTATTGTCCTGTGGTGTTTTGTTTTAGCAGCTCCATGTTTACCAGCCACAGCATGCCCAGCTAAGTATACTTCCCACAGGAGTTGCTTCCTCAATGGCATCCTTTGCCTCTGGCAATGACTCTCACTTAGACATAGGAGTTATTTTTCCCTCAGATACCATGTGTTAGGAAACTCCAGGTGTAGCCCCCACGTCCCTTACATGTGCAAGAGCTTTCTGTCAGAGTTCAGAAGAGCACTCAGAATCAAAAGCCAGTTCCAAACCAAGTAACCATTAAGGGAGGGAGAGGAAAGCCCTGAGAAGGTCCTCAGACCCTGTCCACAGTTCAGATAGCCACAGATACGAGACACTTGGTGAAGGGTTATGGAGGAAGCTTCGGAGAACTGTGAGCCCCACCATACCCCATCCCCAGAAGGAAAAGAAGGAAGAGGGTGCCTAGCTCTCACCTCATCCCTAGTAGGGGTTTCATGGCCCCTTGAAGAGCCTGTCATGTGCCACTGATGCCTGATGGGGATCAGAGATGGGGATCTGATTTCAGCCTAGAAAGTTGGTGATATAAGTGTTATGCTGATTAAGGATCGGGGCTGCCAAACAAAGCCCACTTTCTGCTTTGTCAGGCCTAAGTATTCCCAGTGGGCCAGTTGTAAACATCCTTCATGAAGGCCAGCACAGGGTCATCCTGTGACCTGTGGAAAAAGGCAGACTGCAGGGCCCGCCAAACCAATGGGCAGAGCCCAGGAAGAAGCAGGCACAGCCAGAGTGGGCGGTCACTCTCATTGAGCGTGCTGCAAGGAGCATCTCCTGAGACACAGGGTCACCAGTGGACCATTCCGGCTTAGAGCTCACAGCTCAGGCTAGATGGCAGCCACACCAGGCATGATCACTTTGTACTTTACCCCTGTTACCTCGTCTTCTGCCCACTCCCCTCTATTCTCTCCTGGTGACAGAAGATGGAAACCTCAGCTGGCAATAAGAGAAGAAGTAGAAAGCAAAACTGAAAAAGAGAAAGCTGTTCACACGTATTCCCGGTGAGGGCTCTAGTCTACAGCAGCCTTGCCTGCCATCATTCCTGATCTGCAAATTGGGATTTGAGGACATCATTTGCATAATAGCCCCCTTTTCATTCATCCCATTATTCCTTTGAAGAAAAACCAACTTTCCACTAACCAGACCTTCTCTGGTCTGATTTTAATTTAATTTCAATTTATTTGGATTAGTCAAGTTTCATGGACCTCCATCTTTTCACCCCACCTGAAGAATAAGCCTTTGTCAGCAGAGTCAGTGTCTCATTCTCTGTCTTTCCCCTCAGCAGGACCTGCGCGCCAGGCACAAAGATTTGATGACTAATGCAACACCTTTTAGGGACACGCCGCTGCACAAAGAAGCTACGGCTATAAGCAATATGAACCCACTGCGTTTTCAGACGGCCCCAGCTGAACAAACGTCCAAACCATCACCGGCCTTTTCTCTCCATGCATTTTCAAGCCGTGGGTGGTACAAATAAAAATACCACCTGGCATTTGTATAGCACTTCACAGTTTCAAAGCCACTCTCACAACCACCCCTACGCAGCCGCAGACCATTCTCAACAAACCCGTGTCTGTCCACACCCCTTCTCTTCCTGGTGGCCAGCCCCGTGCCAGCCACTGCAGGGCAGGGCCACATGCTCCCCCTGGGGAGTCCACGTGTTGTGTGAAGAGTTTCCTCATAAAGAGTCAGACGGCCAGAAATGTGGGCAGAGAGCGAAGGGCAGCTTGTTCAGGTTTTGTTTATTATATTCTCACAGCCTGTGTATAGTAAAAGTGAATGTACTCCACTTTACATGGTAATGAAACAACTCAATGTGGACTCCGTCAGCCAAGCGGTTTGTATGGCAGGTGAGCTGCTATAAATCTGTTGTGCTCCGTGAGTGACCAGCTAAGGCTACTGTGGTCAGTGCACATGCGGAGCCTAGTCACCTTTTCCTAACCTGGCAGAGGGGAGGGAGCGGAGGGGTTACGTTCAAGAAACGGACAGTTTATTGAGAGGACCCTAAATCCAAAACCTGGTGAGGCCTGTAGTCCCATCCTGATGTCTCCCACTGACTGTGGCCCACAGCATCTTGTAGCATCCTTGAGAAGCTACGGGGCTTCCCAGTGCCAGGAGCGATGATGGCACCACCTCTCTTGTTTTAACTGGAGGATTACGGATTTAAGGAGATCTGACACTTGGTCCATTGAAGGCAAGGGCGGGAAATTGAAGTTCTTCTGCAAGGTCAGTGGAGTTCTGGGGCTGTGCTTGCTGGAAGACCATCCTGCCTATGGATGTGACCCTCTTCAGCTTTCCCTCTAGGACAGACACAACTACCACACCGGTAGCTGGGGGCTCTCCTGCCCTGCCTCTTCCTCCTCGGGCTCCCCCTTGGCCACCCTCTCCTCAGCTCTCATGCCTTCCCCTCACAGCAGAGAGAGTTTCTCTGTTGTCCAGGGCTTGTGGCCTATCCAGGCAGGACAAGCACCTGGGCAGAGCGTTCACTTTTTCACAGTTTTGGTTTCTCAGAGCAGCAAGTTCTGGGGAAAGCACCAGAAAATAGAGCCAACCAGCAGCTTCCTAGCTGCCTAACCAACTTGGGACCAAAGAGGAAATGGTGAGGGCTTGAAGGAGGGAAAGCACACCCCACTGTGGTCTTGGAATAGCCTCCCCAGGAGGGACACCTTCTGCAGAGAAATCTCTTCACTCACTACCTGTAGTCCAGTGACTCTATTGCATGGCCTTGGATTCGGTAGCACAGCCTGACACAAAAGGGCCAAACACAAGGCTCTATGAAAACAAACAGGGTTAGAGCTCATGAGGCAAGCCTGGAGGAAGCACTGTGAAAACACCGTGGCCCAACGGCCCTCAGCCAAGTGCCCTTTGTTTCCTTCCTCCCCATCCATGCTAACAGCTAGTGCCTGTAGCATGAACCCACACAGGACCTCAAAGGAGCAAATCAGAGTGAGAGGCACAAGACAGCTCCCCCAAGAGTCTGCCTGCCACAGCGCAGGCAAGGGGCCTGACTGCTTTGGGCATTCAGGCCTGCTGTTGGGCCTTCTCCCCGCTGCTGGTTTCCCCTCAGTTCTGCTCCTCTTCATCCTTTGGGCTGCGCTTCCTGAACACATCTGCACACTGGGACCAGAGGAACATTAAAAACTACCCCACCTGGCTCCCACCCAACCTTTCTGATTTAATTCTCAGCCCAGTGAGCAAGCAGCAAGGCTGAGAACCACTCACAGTCTTGGGTTATCTTTGCCCAATGCTCGAAGGCCATTACATACCCAGGAGCTTTTTTTTTTTTTTTTTTTTTTTTAAATGTTGCTTTATGGGTCCCTTCTCTAAATCTATAGGATCAACATCTCTGAGTGTGAAACCTAGGAATTAGCATTTGTAAGGGGCTTTCAAGGTGATCCCTATTATTCATGTTTAATAATAAATACAGAGGGTCCCTCCCTGTTCCATCCAGAGTGCCGAAGTTGACAATGACTGAGATCTACTTAATCCACAAGAACAACGGCAAACCACAAACCAGAGCCAAAAAAGTGAACTCAATGGGATCAGTATGGCACTCAGGGATGCAAAGCCACAGCACTGTGTCCTGTTGCCAGGGCTTGCCCGAGTTCGGGGCCAGTCATCGGCACACTCCGTAGGACTGGAGCAAAGGAAGACATTAAATGGAGTGGCATCTGTGGTGACAACCTGGTGAGGTGGATGAGGCTTGTAAAGGAAGACATGAGGGAGGGGGGCCGGGAGACATGGAAGCTGAGAGATGAGGTATGCTTTGATATTGCTCTAGATGTTGTAAACATTTCTCTGTCTCATCACAGACCAAAATCTGGGCTAGCGTGATCAAAGTGCCTAAGAAAAGGTATCAGAGCAAGAAACTCTGCCTTCTGTGAGAAGCAGGGGAGAGAGGGTATGTGAAAAGCTACCCACCTGGGAAGATCATATCTGCAGTGTACTACCCAAGACTCAATAAACACACATATACACACACGTGCGCGCGCACACACACACACACACACACACACACACACACAATGCTCCATGGAAATACCATAAATAGGCTATCTGCTCCTCTACACAGATACAAACGCACGTGCCCTTGTCTATCTACAAAATTCAGGATACTCAAACTTGGTCCTTTGTACCTCCCATGTGGGAAGAAGTCACTAGGGGGTCATGGCATCACTATCACTATCTACAGTCTTCATTCCACCAATAGTTGGCAAGAACTCCAGGCCCCAAATGAGGGTGCCACACGGTGCACATGGAACCTTTTTGCATTGGGATATCAAAAGTGGTGAGAAAGTCCCTCCCAGGGAGTTTCCATCACTGCAGGTCCAGTTGATATGCACCTCATATTGGACAGAAGCACTGGCAGCAGATGCACATTTCATATGTAAACAATGTTTAAAATACCCTGTGAGAGAATTTAATCATTCCATTAATTCTGGCAGCTTTAGCTAAGAATATTTTTATATCAGGGTGGGGAAATTGACCTGACCTAACCTGGATCGCCATTTGAGGCTTCGGAGTTCTTACTAACTGTGACTGTTATAGGTCTCTTTGGTGTGAGGCCTGGGAAATAGGTGTTTTTATCTCTTCTTGAGGTTCGCATACAGACACCAACACCCACTCACAGATGACGCTGTTCCAATAGGAGGGCAGTTAGCACTAACACAATAGGACTCAAGGGCCTTCTTGCCCTTGTCTGACTACAACTAAAGAAGGAACTGATACTCCTAGACCAGAATTCAAACCCTAGAATATCTCAGAAGGGCTAACACCCCACGAAAGAGAAGTGTCAGCCCAGCCTGCCACCACCTGCTTTCCTGGGCAGCCTGGCCATGGACTACTTCATTCACTCAAGCTGAAAAGTTTGTGGCTCTTCAATGAGCCCATGTTGACGAGCTGTAAATTATCCCATCACTCCTCTGTGATCCAGTTCATCCAGAGACCAGAGACCAGCAGCTTCCAGACTCGTCTTCCACTTCCCGGAATCTATGCTGAAGACTCATCTCCCTGTCACTGTAGGAGATGGCAGGGTCAGATGTGTCATGGATAACTGCAGAGATCCCATGCTGCTCATGCCTCCTTCAATAAAGTGTATCCTGGTACATTTCCAAGAAACCCTAGGGTACCACACAAGCATTGTAGGAACATTTCCACAGCCTGGTGTTCACAGTGATCTTCCCAGTTCATGTTCGGTCCCAAAGGCCAGAGACCAAGAAGGCAGCTATTTTTCAATAGCCAATAGTGGACCCTTTCTAAGAAGGTAGGCCCAGGAAGCAAGCTGCAACGAGAGTTTCAGCCTAGGAGCCCATTCTCCCCCTCATAGTTACATGGCCTGCATGGAAGGAGGAGGTGGAGTGATAGGAAAGCATCAGCCACTAGGAAAGCTGTCATGCTATGGGAAATTACCTCCCTTTGCCAAACTGTCTTTCATCCTAAGAGATCAGTGCTCAGAGGTAAGTGATGCCATGGGGAGATGGGGGCACAGAGTACATTAGGCAACAGACAGTCATACAGAGCCTCATTGCACAAAAGTCCACCGATGCTACTACATTCCCTGGTCACTCAGCTTCTAGAAAAGTTCTTGATAGATTGAAGAAGATTCACAAGCTCTGTCTCTCAAAAGGACAGCTCCACTCAGAAGTCATGGGACAAATCTCCCAAAACTCTTTCTGGAGCTTCAGGTGTAAGGAAATTCACTGAATTCCTTAGGCCAAGAAGGGACCCCAGACTCTCATTTTGGTCCCATGGAAACAGAAGACACAGCCAACTCCAGGGAATATGTCCTTTGTCAGAGGTCACCTGTCAGTAGTGTTAGGAGTATGAAATTCCAAAGCGATCTCTTCTAAATTGTGAGGTCCAGGTACTCAGGTTGGGCCACTGGTTTGTGACAGCAAATCACAAGTGAGAGAATGTGTGTCTTATAGCTACTCCTCCCTTGGGTAAATAAAGGACAAGGTGAAGATCAGGAATCCTACTGAAGAGGGCATGGTGTGGAGGTGATGGGAACTGCGTTTGCATTATTTACAGATAGCCCAGCACAGTGAATCTGCCTTCTTGGTGGAGATGATGGAAGGCATATGAAGGGCCAGTTACTGGCCCACCCAGAGAAGGATGTCAGCAGCAGTGCTACCTCTAACCGAAACATACATCTGGATAAATGGAAGAGAGTCCCAGCTCCAGGAGCTGGGTCACACTTTGGAACAGCCCTTCAATCCCTTGTCACCTCCAGCCTCCCACCCCAAACCCTGGCGCCTTTGAACACCTATGGCATTTCACATTAGAATATGGTCTTGGCAGCAAGGGGAAGGGAAAGCCAGTGACTTCCACGAGTCTCCATCTGAGTTCTAACTGAGCCTCCTCTGGCTTTGGGACAGCAGGTCTAAGTACATTTTGGACCTCAAGAACCTGGGATAAGAGTCTTTCTCCATGAGGCTGTGTACTTTTCCCTGAGCTTGGTCAAAACAAGTCAGGGATGGCTCCTGCATGTTCTTCCTCGTGGCTTCTCGGGTTTGGAAATCGATATTCACCTGGAGATACAAACAGAGAGCAAGGTTATAGGCTTTCAAAGGCCAAGGCATCTTCTGGATAGTAGGCCCAAGCTACAAAACAACCATCAATGCAGTATCTCACATGTTCAGGTTCACATATACTTCTCAAACTGAGTTCATGGAGTTAATTCCTGGGGATTCCAACAGGAATGCTGTGAAGGCTGAAGTCCAGGCAGTCTTAAATTGTAAATAAGATGAGTAAAGAAAAGAGAGACCAGCTGGGCATGGTGGCACACACCTTTAATCCCAGCACTCAGGAGGCAGATGGATCTTTGTGAGTTCAAGGCCAGCCTGGTTCACAGAGTGAGTTCCAGGACAGTCAGCATTATGAAAAGAGACCATGTCTTGATAATGATAATAATATAGAAAAAAAAAGAGAGATACTACAAAGCTTATCTAAAGTAGGTGAATTAGTACCAGAACCATGGCAAGAATCCTCACATCAAGAATCTCCATTCCACACGAAGGTGAGTCTCAAGCCAGTTGTTAATAAGGTTCCCCTAAGCTTTTCACCTCATTCTTTCTTAACTACCAAAGCCAACGGATGCCCAATATAGACAGACCCTGGTAAACATACATCCCTCTATTTGTCACCATTAGGGGACAATAGCATTTTACCAATCATGTAAAGGTTTCACACCCCAAGTCAAAGCTGCATCTAAATACAGATAGAAAACTGTTCATCAGTTAAACCCTACCAGGGCACATGCTATATTAAAACTCAGAACAGCTATGCATAATTATAATACAGCAATGGAATGGATTATAAATATTCATTAATGAGCAATGGCAAGCACTCAGTAGGTGCTTTACCTCTAACACTTAGCATAGCCTTGAAAGGCAAGTGGCATTATCCTCTCTTACATTGGGGAAGATGAGGCTCAGAGAGGTTAAATAAATTAAGGATGGTCACACATAGTAACAGAACTGAAACTGCAAACAAAACCCTTTAAAAGAGGGTACTATTCCATTAAGTTATTGCACAATTGTTTGTTAGGTGGTGTGCACATGCATGTGTGTGCATGCGCATGTGCCTGTGCAGAGGACAATTTGCAGGATTCATTTCTCTCCTTCTGTCATGTGGGTTCTAGCAATCAAACTCAGGTCATCAGGCTTGGCAGCAGGTGCCTTTTCTCAATGAGTCAATTCAGCAGCCCCTGTGCTGCTTTGAATAGAAAAGTAGACATGGGCTCCAGGGAACCTACTCTTGTGAAACCACTGGGGTAACACAGCCTGGGTAACACGTGCCAGACAGACAGCAAAACCATCCCAATGCATCTCCTTTCATGAAAACCTGGATTTTCCACTCCTCAAATCTACCCTTTCTCATTAGGATCCACCAGAGTTGGGAGGCCCATTGAGGCAGGAGGAAATCCTGGGGGGCTTGGCTTAAAAGCTCCCCAAGGCCTCTGGAGATGTTGCCATTAGCAACACACCTCCCGTGGAGCCTGCACATCCACAAACTCCTCAAAGATCCTGTGGGCCTTGGAGACCAGCTTTGCAGTCGACCGGGTCTTCTTGAACTCCTCGCAGGCAAGCCAGAACTCCAGGTTCTCCTCGCTGAACTCTGTCTTCAGGAAGGCACGGAAGGCTGCCACCCCATCTACAGAAGGAGGAGGGAGAAAAAGCAGGAAGAGAAGGCTTAAGTCCAAGACTGCAAATGAAGGAGAAAACAGTCCTATTGTAATGGTGTCCTCACTGTCCAAGCCTGCTGCTTTTACACCCCACCCCCCAACACACACACCCAGATGACACACCGCTACCCTCAGAGCTAGCTTCATGTTCAAGGACCAGCATGAAGTATCCAAGAGAAAATTCCATAGTAGTGATAACAGTGGGTAAGCTTGGCCACTTCTGATAAAGCCTGACTGACATTGATACAGAGTTGGGTGAGCCCCAGGCCTGCTGGTATTGCTCAAAGTAATAGGCACTATACATTCTCTGCCCTAAGCTGAGTCCACACCAGAGAGAAGACATGGACAGCTGTAAAACAAACTAGACAGGAATATACATGTCTCAGAGCCAACCCTTTACCGATAACAGAAACACATCCAACAGAAACTTAGTCCGTAATACAGTTTACTGCATGAATAGATAGCATTTAGGAAATCCTTGAGGATGTGCATTTGGTGGTTTAGTCTATTCATTCTTGCTTTGAAATTTGCCTATCAAATTTGATTTTTAAAACATTTTTAAAGTTACATTTGTGAGTGTGTGAGTGTGTGTGTGAGTGTGTGTGTGAGTATGTGTGTGAGTGTGTTGTGAGAGTGAGTGTGAGAGTGTGAATGTGTGTGTAAGTATGTGTATGAGTGTGTGGTGTATGTGTGAGAGAGTGAATGTGTGTGTGAGTGTGTGTGAATATGTGTTTGTGTGAGTGTGTGTGAATGTGTGTGTACGAGTGTGTGTGTGTGTGTGTGTGTAAGGACAACTTTCAGGAGACAGTTCTCTCCTTCCCATGTGGGACCTGGAGATGATCCTCAGGCTGTCAGGCTTTGTAACAGGTACATTTTCCTGCGAAACCATCTCCCTGACCCAGATTATAGGCTTTAATTGAGGTCCAGTATAATTTTTCTGCCAATATAGTTAATGGCTAATCCAGCCTTTCCTCTTACTAATCAATATCATATGTACTGCCAAGCTTTCCGTCCACTTCCAGTAGTGCTTTTATTTGAAAAGTTTCTAATCACCTGTTTAAACTCTTGACTCATTTGCTTCTGTTGGAATGGCAATGACAGCTTTCTAGAAAGGATCCTCAAAGTGAAGAACACTCTAGAATAAGGTGCCAAAATGGTGGGGAAAAAAATAAAAAGGCTCAATGACCATTTTCATTTCTTTTGTAAAATTCATGTTACCACTTTTGGCAATGGGCAGTGAACCCGATCCTCTTGTATACTACGCAAGTGCTCTGCCACCGAAGTACATGGCATTTCTCCTCCTTTCTATTCTGTTGCTGGCCTTTAATTCACTGCATAGCCCAAGCAGGGCTCAAGCTTGTAATCTTCTTGCCTCAGCCTACTGAGTGAGGCCTGGCTGAGATGACAGGCTGACACAACTGATTCTACCTCAACAACCCCACCTCTCTCTCTCTCTCTCTGTGTGTGTGTGTGTGTGTGTGTGTGTGTGTGTGTGTGTGTGTGTGACACAGCTGTGTGTGCCGGTCTACACATTTGTAAATGGACTTGCTGGGACCAGAACAGGAGGCTGGATGTCTTGAAAGAGGCTCTCTCACTGAAGTGGGACCCTTCTTTCATCTAAGTTGATTCCTAAGGTGGGCAAGCTCTAGGGAATCAACTGTCTCTCCTCACCAATTCTGAGGTTACAGGCATGAGCAGTGAGGCTGGGCCTGTAACATGAGTGCTGGGGATTTGAACTCAGGTCATAGTTCTTGCAAAGAAAGCAGTCTTATCTACTAAGCTATCTCCCAGGCCCTGGCACTTTTTGGGTTCTGAGGATTGAACTAAGGTTTGTACAGAAAGCCTCTTTACCCACTGAGCCATCTTACTGGCCCTAAACTTTTCTTGAAGGGATTGTTTTTCTTAATAAACTTATTTTAGCTGAGCATGAAAACATAGAAATTATACACAAGGAAATAATATTTGTTCTATACATTGTAAAATATTTAAATCCAACATTTAAATACTTACTATTTCTTGGAGGTAAAAAGTTTCAAAATACTTTTAGCTTTTAAAAATGTATAACATGCTGGGTGGGAAACCAGCATTAGACCGACTCAGACCCCCTGAATGTGGGTCTCAGTTAGGAGGCCTGGGCAGTCTATGGGATCTCTCACAGTGGAACCAGGATGTATCCCGGGTGCATGAAAGGACTTTGGGAGCACATTCCCCATGGAGGGATACTCCCTTGGCCTAGAGACACAAGGGAGGGTCTAGGCCCCACCCCAAATGACTTGGCAGATTTTGATGATCCCTCCTGGAAGGCCTCACCCTCCCTGGGGATCAGATAGGGAATGGGACAGGAAGGGGGTGGGGAACATGGGAGGAGGGAGGGAGAGGGAACTGGGATAGATATGTAAAATATGAAAAAAATATAAAATAAAATAAAAAAAATTTAAATTAAAAAAAAATGTATAACACATTTGTTTTAGTTTGGTGTAGAGACAGAATTTCACTTTTTAACCCAGGCTGACCTGAAACTCATTATACCAGCCTCAAACTCATAGCAATCCTGCTGCCTTAGCTTCGAATGTGCTGGGATTAAAGGTGTGAGCCATCACCTCCTGCTCCCTTATAATTACACCTTCTGATCAACACTTCCAGGTCCCTGTCTTCCTCCCTTCCTCCCTTTTCTTCCTAGCCCCCAGGTGCCACTCTACACCTCAACAAGACCCACTCTTAGATGTCACAGATGGGTAGTCATGTGGTATTTGCCACATCTCCACACACTTTCCACTACAGTCAGACGGGTGAGAAAGGCAACATGGATGGCTCTCCAACTGAGCATTTATCTAGCCCAGTGATTCTCAACTTTCCTACCTCCATTACCCTTTAATACAGTTCTTCATGTGTGGGGACCCCAACCATAAAATTATTTTTATTGCTACCTCATAACTGTAATCCTGTTACTGTTATGAGTCATAATGTAAATATCTGTGTTTTCTGGTGGTCTTTGGAGACTTCTATGGAAGGGTCCTTTGACCTCAAAGGGGTCATGACCCACAGGTTGAGAACCACTGTCTTGAAGAACTGGGACATGACTCAGGAGTTTGTGGCTGTTTTTAAGCCTGAGGGAACTAAATTCCTTGAATGTCGGAGTTTTTCTCTAAACAAAAACAGATGCTTGAGAACCTGGTAAATGTAGTCACAGATAAAGTATATTACATTTCCACTTTCCTCCCTTGTATTGGTAACCAGCTCTGTCAAGGAAAGTCTATATGGCTCCAGATCTCTAGAGCACAGACCTTATCTCTCTTCACCTAGATCCCAGCTTTGGTGGGTCCTGGTGCACTAGAAAAACTTACACCTGCCGTGTCCTCCCTGTTGTGGCTCTCCTCCTCCCAGCTTACAGGGAAGGGCATGGAAGCTGAGAACCAGCTTGCTTGACCTCGTACCTGACAACACATAGCATCATAGATTAAGGTCATTAACTCCCCGAACCACTGGAATAACAGCTGCACTTTTATTGAATCATGCATTCACTCTGCTGGGTGACCCAGCTGTTCCAACAGGGACAGACAGCACAGAGAATGAGGTATTATTATACACGCCATGGGCTGTCTCTTTTGCACTATGATCAGCCACCTCATGCTTCTGATGTCATGACTTCCCCACCATGCTAAGCTATGCCCTCAAACCATAAGCCCAAACAGACCCTTCCTTAAGTTGCTTTTGCCAGATAATTAGAAAAGTAACCAATATGCCATCAAAAGGTAGAGTGAAACAAAAAGAAGAAAACATAATTATGATGTGGTGGGGTAAGTTACATGACAGGAAAGGACAAGGTACTATGAAAGGATACTAAGTCAGCACCTGAGCCAAGTCAGGAGGGAAAAGACCTGTAAAGAGAACCCCACCACCACCACCACCATCCCCGGCTGGGGGAAGTGAAGGAGAAGGAAGCAACATGAAAGAAGGAAGCAGGTGATGGAGAAGATGATTTCAGGAAGAGAGTCATACACACGAAGGCAAGGTTTGGCTTGGTAGGTACCATGCTCATGCTCGTCTTGCACACATGGAGCCCCAGTTCCAATCTCTAGCAGAGCATAGTGCTGGATGTGGAGGCACGAAGGCATGACAATTAGAAGGTCAAGGTCATTCTCAGCTATAATGTGAGTATGAGACTAACCTAAGCTAAATAAGATAAGAGGGGGAGAGAGGAAAAGCAAGGAGGGGTGGGGAGAAGGGGAAGGGGAAAAAAAGCAAAAAGAAACTAAAGCTTAGAGAAGGTGAGTAAATGGACCAATTGCATAGCTGGTAAGAATCAAGATTCCTCACCAGGGGGCTGGAGAGATGGCTCAGTGGTTCATAGCACTGACTGCTCTTCCAAAGGACCCAGGTTCAATTCCCAGCACCCACATGGCAGCTCATGGCTGCCCATAATTCTAGTTCCAGGGAACCTGACACTCATGGCAAAATACCAATGCACATGAAATAAAGATAAAGACATTAAAAAAAAAAAAAAAAAAAAAAAAAGATTCCTCACCAGGCCTACAGGATCCCAAAGCAAGATCTTTCCAGAGGTGTATATAAGAAGGTTAAGAGCAGGTAAAGGGAGAATTAAAGAGCCAATACTGGTGTTGGGGAAGGCAGATTTTAGAGAATGGGAGCAGGAGCAACTGTCTTCCTTGAGGATGAGAGTAAACACACAGAAACAGTGGTGGATGAAGACAGAAAGAGTCAGGAATGAGACATGCTTGAGATGCATCAGATAGGACAGCCTTGCTCTTTATTAATTTGAGGTGAGGTTGCTGGGAATGAGGCTACCCTTGAGTGCTAGGCTTTGAGCTGCAGCACAAATAAATTAAAATCACCACCTCACAGAACTTTCCAGCCAGTCTAACATAACAAGCCTTAGGGAATAATGTGAAATAATGCATTGCATCATTGTAAGTGCAGCAGGTGTTCTAGGGGAGACACCTAGGAGAGA